TTTACTATCATTTACTATATAGTGAAAACTATGGAACTTTGGTTCATTGTTACAAGTAGCTATAGAAACATTTGTCTACAGGTATCTTTGGTATTGTTAGAACATGTGCAAATTATTCGAGTTGCTTATTTAAGCTGACATTGAATATTGACATTCAAAAACAAATATTGTCAGTTTTGAGTAATTTTTTTTCTTCATTTTTGTCAAGTTGCTCGATACGAGTGCGATAGTTGTAAATCAATAATGAACATGCACCTAAAAAAAGTTCCCATCACAAAAAATAAAGATATAGAAAAATACAAAAGTATGGGGAAAGAATTAGTGGTACTGGAAAATGTTTACAGGGTGGGAAGACCAAGGAATATCCTTATATCCACCCCCATTTTAACTGCGTATGCGCTTAATAAAAGGAATTTTAAAGTTACTATGAGCAGGTATTACATTAAGGTTTTGTATGCGTTCTGTTTTTGTTTGCTGAATTTTTTGAACTTTTTCCTATACATTGTATATTTCATAGAGTCTTGTATATATTACAAATGTACAAACCGCTCTTTATTAAACAGACTCATGGTTTCGGTAATGTAATACATTTGCATTAGTTCAACGTTTTCCGAAGGAGACATATTTCTCATTTATATGTTATTTGTACATTTCAACAAAGGGAGATGAATTTGTGAATTGATACAGTTTATTCTCAATTTTTTGGGTTTTTTTTATGATTATACAGTAACATATTTTAAATTGACTTAAAAGGCTAAACGTCTACGTCAATCTATACGAGAGGAAATCTTTCAGTTTCAGATCTTCATGTTACTAAACATTACATTGTTGTGTACAGTTTCTATTTTATTTTTTTTTTATTTTTTTTTTTTTATAGTAGGCATTGAATAACTTTATAGTTTTAAATCTTGATGTGTTTTTGAATTCTGAAAAACAATTATACATATTTGAGGATTTTCGTGTTTTTTTTTCGAAATGCAGTTTAACAAAATCACTGTATGTGCTTAAAAATGGTAAACATAATTTTTATAATGATAATAACTTCAAGTGAATTATTACTTCCGTACGTAATATTAGGTTTTTACTGTTGAATTTATTCTAAATTTTTAGATTTTTTTTAATTTTATTTTTTAATTTTTACATGTATATTTTTTCACGCTACTGAACATATTTAATTTAAATTAAAGAGGAACGCAGTGAACACGCTGACTGCTGATACTGTGTATGACATTATTTCGTCCATTATAATTTATGTTATTTGATTCTGCAAACTATATATCGTTCTTTGTTTAGTGGCGGGGTACAGAGATCTTGTATTTGACCTTTAACAGATTAAGAATACTTATGTAAAACCCTTGAGTCAAAAACCACTCAGCGCTCTTTGTTGTCTACTTTTTAAACTGTTTCAGTACATTTACAACTTCATGATGCAGGTTCTTTGTTTGATTAATTGTCTTTTGTTTGTATGTTTCTTTCTTTCTGAAATAATTTTAAAAATATGCTTCTTCAAAATCATAATTTTATTAACAAAAATCATCTAGCTACTTTACAAAACGTTTTCATACTTTCTTTGCATAAACATTTAACCATTCAATTTTCAATTTCTATCTAGGTCATCAATGCCGTATTACAAAGATATCGATGATGCAAGCGTGTCTAGAGTGGCAACAATTTACTTTCTTCTTTCTATAACCTATTTGATAAGGAATATAACAGGGTATCGAGTTGTCTCGTTCTAAATTTGGAAACTGCAAAACGACAGTCTCTAAGTCAACCGAGTTAATCTGCATGGGACTATTAAAAGTTAAACAGAAAGTGTTTAAGCGTGTCTATTTTCCAGGAATATTTGCAGGTTTTGATAATGTTTTTAAAAATTATATTTTGAATATGAATGTGCCAGACGTATCATCGGGGTTTAGACTAATATCTGATATATAGATGCGTTTTTGAAAGGAGGGGCATCAATGGAAAGAGGGGGTATAAAACATCCTTTTGGCTTAAAGTTTCAGCGATTTTGTTTTCAAATCATGAGGGAAAAAAGATCGAACTATGCCCGTAAATTAATTAGCAGCTAAAAAAAGATAATAATATATAAAAAAAAAAAAATCATTTAATTTTTGGGAAGTTTCAGGTTTTGAACATCCTATATGTGTTGTACACTTTCTGAGTATGCAGCTTACCTGTTAGATTAAACAAATCTTACATTGAATAATACATGTACGTACAAAAACGCTACAAAATAGTATACATTACCGCTACATATATATAAGTTACATTACCGCAACAATGCCTCTTGTTTTAGCCAGTGCCTTATGCATTACAACATGGACCTGTTTCCCCTGCTCACAACGGAGAAATCTCCCATGCAGTGTCGTTCGTTTCTCTCTCATACACATCTGCGATGGGCTCACGTCAAGATTTTTGACATAACGTTAAAAACATGACATTTCAAGGATTATTTCAAATCAAACTAATAGTTCTAGATATACTTAGTAAATATATACCTTAAACGAGAAAGAAGTACAGGCATTTAATTATAATGAATTTAAACAAACGCACTATTCCTCCTGCTTATAACTGTGATATACGCGAGCCAACAACAGAGGTGAATGTATGAGCCGATGGTAGAGAGTGACCACGGAGAGGGAAAAGTAAAACTATGAGCAGGATGTTTTTTCCCTTTATTATTTAAGATCCTTAGCCACTTTATTTCTAAAAACTTTTTTGCAGGTTTTTAATGAAATTTAGGCTGAATGAATAAATTATATTGTCTAAAACCCATATATAGTTAATTGTACATGTACTTCGACTTCGACAGTGAGTGAATAATATTGAATATACAGTCAAACCTCGTTATCTCAAACTCGATGGAACCGAGAAAAAACTACGAAATATCCGAGGATTCTAGATATCAAGGTTAAAATACATAAAAAAAGAGATTGGGACTTCAAAATCACTTAGACATATTCATGGTACTCGAGATATCAGTGTTCGAGAAACTGAAATTCAAACATAACTCATACTCTGTATTATCGCATGCAGATTTGTGTATGTAGAGGTAATGAGTTGTTGTTATCACCGTCTTTTTGTTGATAAGATTTAGCGGTAATGAGCACCCGAAATTTGGATGAAAAGTAGCGGTAATGAGTTGTAATTTTATGCAATGTAGCGGTAATGTTGAACATAAAAACAAACACCTATGTACGTCTTTACTTACAGTTAAACTTACTACTAGGATGTTTTTTTACTCAGTCTTAATAAGAAATCAATGCAAACGATTATATTTGAGAGATTGCACTTCACACGTCTATATGGCTGTAAGATATATGTACTTGAGAGTCATAAGTTCAATTGTAACACTGGATGTTATACAAGGTATTCAGACAAAGAAAGCATCATTTTAAGCATTTTTTGTCCACTCGAGTGGTAGATGAAGTAATGCATACGTGTGTTTGTGTGTGTGCGTGTGTGTTGGTATGTGGATGAGCAATAAGGGACCAGCTAATGTGTGTTTTGCCAGGGGATGTCCCACTCCACTGTGACCTTGTCTGCTTTGCAAACAATGCAAACAAAAAAAAAAAGTTAATTCTGTGCCAGCTAGAGTAAATGATGTCTAGATATTAGAACATTACAAATGCACATGTTTCTGAGTACAAGCAAGTATGTAAAAATATATTCATATTGCATCAGTATAATATGTATATATAATATAACGTGTGGGTTCTATGTACTATAACTCGTTATAAAATACGGAACCCCAGAGCACGTTTCATTGAGATTTGATCTTTGCACACACATATCCAGGCATGACTCAGTTTCCTCTATGTTCGATTCACAAAATTTCCTGCAGGAAAAACTACAGATTTCTAGCTTACACCATATTGTGAGCTAAGCAGGGATATCCGAAATAAAATTTAAAACTTTAAGACTTGTTTCTCAAATTATAAGTACCACGGTATAGAGTTAGAGTGTTTTCTTTAAATAAATTTACATAACGCGCCTGTCAGCGAGTTGGTTGATCATGATAATGCTAACACCCCGCCCTCTTATATTATTTTTTTTCAATTCAGAGAAAAAATTAACTTGTTAATGATGATATACCAGTATTTTACATTCACAATTATTGTAAAAAAAATCGTGTATATATATTGTACCATTATATTTCTCATTTTAAGTATGACTGTATTTTGAATTTTATGGTCATTCTCCGTTTTTATCGATACAACATTCCATGTAATGATATATATATATATATTTTTTTAGATTTTAATAATTCCCTTGTCCTGATATTTTTGGGGTAGTGAATTTCAATCCAAAATTTTACCATAGTCTAGAAGAAAAAAAATGAGCAGGTAAAAAATACAGTCTGATAGGATTTTAACGCTATAATTAGTAATTAACTTATTAACGGGTAATTACATTGTCAGCGCGCCCTAAGAGCCTCTGGGGACCCAGCCTCTGGCTTTATTCAGTTTGACCATAAGTATCACATTGTCGTGTTACCTTAAGAAACACGCTTTGATGATGCGTTAAATTGATCTGCACTACCCTATCTAATATATAAATTAGGTTTAAATATCTCTTCCGTCATATTTCGTAAGAATGAAACTCTGAGAAAATCTAATGGGTTATTTGATATTGTACACCATGCAATTTGATTTCAAAATGTTCTAGTAATTTGCCAATTTACGTTTAACCCGAGTTATTGATTCTTTTTTAACGTAATACCGTTTGTTTATTCTATTTTGACAGATCGCGGGTACATGGTTTTTTTTTACTACCTGGAAGTATTTAAAGTACGAGGTGAATTCCACATATGACAGTTTTAATATAATTCTATTCATATTTAAATCTCTCTGAGCTGCTTTTGTAATTTAATGAAAAACTCCAAAAGAAGAATAAAACAGCTGATTCTAAGAGCTAAACAGACAAAACGAATTCCTCTCATTTGATCCTCTTTTTTTCCTAAATGAATGGTCACGTGACAAAAGTTAAGGGGAAATCCCAAGTGTGGTATAAATAATACGCGCAAGAGCACTCTCGAGCCAGTTAGGATAGCGTCTATGAGAGTTGCAGTCGTAGTTGCAAGCATACATGACAGTGCAGCGTCTTCGAGGCAACAAAATCCAAGGTGAGTCAGGATTTTCATGCAGATTTATTTAAAAGCTTTAAAAATATTTGCATTAACCTGGTTTGTCAATTATGCTAAACCTTTTGTGTTTATCATTTAAATATAGAAGTTTTGCATGTTTTAAGTCGTATCCAGGTTCATTTGTTAAAAAAAGTAAAAAAAAAAATATATTGAATTATCTTTGCTGGCCTTGTTATAAAACACAAAATATTTTTAGATCGAGCTATATTTTTAGATTGCATTCAGTTACAATACATTACCTGGGTATTTAAATTTCTACTTTACTAAAAGCTATAATCTACAAATATATCATCGAGGAGCTCTTTTGCTGTTGAGCTGTGTTTTACACAAGTATAATCAAATGTTGTTGTGTTCTTTGTTTACATTTACATTTTTGTTTCATCCGTATATTCTTTTCTTTCTTTTAGAGTCAGTGCCTAGAGGGACATTTAAGATAACGTTAAAAAATACAAAGAGCTTGTTTAAAAAGGGTAATATCATTTTCTTCATTTTTTTGAAATAGCATCTCCTTTTTTGTACATGCAAAGTGTATATAACCGTCGGTGATGAGACTTTCTCATTGGGCCCAACATTTTTATCTTTTGAAAACACTCAGCGCGAGCCTCTATGAAGTTGAGGATCGACAGATAATTTAAGCCCCACTTAAACTGAACATCATTGACAGGAAAACCTATCTCTTTCCGAGATCCGGATTCATTAATTATTTTAAGTGTTCTGTGCATTTTGGTAATATGTGATGTTTTCTAGCTCTTCACAAAAAATATAACTTATTATTACATTTTTTTAAAAGTTCGAAGTAAAACGATTTATCTAAAAAGTATCGAAGCCTGTAGCAAAATTTTTACAGCAGATGTAACCAGTTTACAACTAAACTCTTTCAGTATATTATAGGTTAGAGATAAAAATATATACTTTTTTTCAATTGCCCTTTCCTGCTCTTTCAGATGAATAGTACAAAGGACCAGACACCGGATTTGGTACAAATCTTACAGTATCTTCGCGACCCGCTAACAGAGTTTTCGGAAGTATCACCTACGTCTCTACCATGTATAGGTATGTTTAAATATAGATATTTTGTAGTAGTGTTGTGTCATGATACCATACCCTCTTGGGGTGTTTGAATACATCAATAAATCTTCGTATTTTTTTAGGCGATTCCCAGACATCACCACTAAGATATGAACAAGATCACTACGGATGTATCCCAGAATATACCACACTGCCCAGTACACCATTTGGTGAGTTTAGATTTAAATGAGAACAAAAAATGCATCGTTAAAATTCAAAGTAAAATAAACTCTTGTGTTATATTCTTGTTCAGATCCAGCGTATCTTCCAGAAACTGGTTCCGATGGAAGTGAGGTTGAAGATGATTCATCAGGTAAACAACTTGTTCTTTAAATAAAACTTGTAAATTGAAATTAAATTTTGTCTTTAAGGTAAATAAAATATTGAAACAGTTAAACTCTTTACAAATTTTATTATCTACCTTTTTTTTTTCTTTTTTTTTTTACCTCCAAAGTGATTCTAGATTACACTCTTACGGAATGCGCAAGCTGCGGCCATATCTTCTGCCATAATTGTTCATACTGCCAAGGATGTTGTTCGTGCTATAACAACAACAACGCTCACCTTAACCAATATAAAGATCCATCTCACAGTCCCATTGCCGAGGAAGATTCAAATGACTCTATTGAAAAAATCCCCAGCCTCCCCAGCATAGACATTTTTCGTGATTTAGAGCGTCCTTATCCTTCCCCGACTCACAACGAGACCGGAAAACGAAAACGAGGTTAGATATTAAAATATTAATATACACACAAGCACTCATACACTGCCTTGTTCCATGAAAAGAAATTCGACTTAGAAGAATTAATCATATTCTTTTATATGAAACAGGGGCGAAAAACATACTTCTTTGGAAATTTCTTTTGGCTGAACTGAGTGCACCGAATGCAGGTTATATAAAGTGGGTGAACAAGGATGAGGGAACGTTCAGATTCATGGACACTGTTGAAGTGAGCAGGCGATGGGGACAGAAAAAACAGAAAACTGATATGAACTTCGAGAAACTTAGTCGTGGAATTCGGTAAGAATTAAAGTACTTTATTAAATTTCATATTTATTTTTTGCATTCTCTTTTCGAAGTTTAAAATTTTGTTGTCTTTTAGACACTACTACAAAAACAAGTTCATGACTCGTATCGATGGTGTGCGACTGGTGTATAAGTTCAACTGGTCGAAGATACCCAAGGAATGGCGACCGTGTGGTGTGTTTGGACAACCAAAAAATTGAATAAAATGGCTGTCCATTCCAATCCGAGCCGGGAAATGTGCATAAAATCCAAACAGTCATGGCTTTATTTTTCTGAATTGTCTCGTGTTTGCTGCAGTATGGAGGACGATGAAATCTCAGCTGTCCCTAGGGCAATCTTTGTCGATATGATGTGTTCAGACTTTCTAATAGATTTTTCTAGAAAGCTCAATATTTCATCATGTGTTCGAACAGTTCTTATAAAAATTTTATAAAATATTATATATATTTTTACATGTATATATTGATTTATTATCTGTAAATAAACTACTCGTATGCGTTGTTGTATACTGCCGTTGATTAATAAAATTATTCTAAGTGGAATGATTTTTAAGTTTTTATAGAAATAGTTTGTACCTTGAAAGAAATAAATCCGTTCCTGCCGAGCTGAGGTATCTACTTGGCAAATGGAAAGTAGGAAACATATATATATATATATATATATATATATATATATATATATATATATATATATAATTTGGCTTAGTTTCCTAGTTTCCCCTTTGTCAAGCAGATACCCCCTAATGGTCATATTATACGAAACATACAATGAGACTTAACTTTACGTCATTAAGAAATACTCGTTCAATAATGCTTTGTTGAACAACTTTCTTGTAAATGGGGTGGTACAATACATGAAAGAAGAAGATGTGTTGAAGAAATAAATAAACTTCTACAAAAACCCCGCAAGAAAAACCAAGAGGGAAAAGTTTTAAAATTGGTTCTTTATTTGCCCAAAGAAGAACTTGTTTGCTGTGTTGTAATGACTTCTAAATATAAATGCTAGCAAGAGAATCATCGTGCCATGAGTACATTCTCTTCCCGTTCTTGTTATTTCCGGTTCCGCGTTGTGATACGGACAAGAGGAAAATCTCTGTGGTACCAGCATGGCAGAGCTCAAACTCATCAGGACTGTTTATTTGAAACAAATTCTCTGAAAATCCAAATATAGTGTAAAACAAACACCATGACATTTTTATTTTTTATTTATTTCAGCTAAAAACATATTCACGAAAAAGTAAACTTGCCGAATGCAAATTCAAAATTAGAGGACACTTTATAAAATATAAGATTATTCCCTTTTTTGTGGAAAAGCTTAAATTGCCATTTCTTATGACGTAAACTTAGAATACGTTATGTTAAATCATGCATGTATATTTCCTAATTTGTGTATTGGTTAAAAAAATCGTTAGATATAAGGATAATATATTCTTACATGTTCATCGGAGAATCAGTTTGTAATTATAACTATGCTAAAAAATGTGAAGGATTTAAGTGTTTAAGTTTCTAACTGCTATTTTTAGATTGTTTGTTAATTATATAAACACGATGCGTCGAAAAGACCTGGAAAGCCTAGAGATTTATTATTTAACACGAATTTGTACAATGTTCAAGGTAAAATTTGATGTATTATTGACCATACAGAAGATTCATGTTATAAAAATTTTATTGCTTATACCATTCAGCTGCAACATATCCAAAGAAAGTATTTACTATTCTTTATATAAATATTGTATCAATATTAAAATACATGTACTAATAAATGTTTCCTTAAATATTTTAAAATTCACAGTCAACTCAATAGAAACATAGAATTTTTTTTTTTTGATATTGGAATTTAAATTAGGAAATATCGAACAATTCAATATAAATGAATAAATTATGATAAACTCTTATATTTCAAAGCAGATGATGCACAATGTAAGTTTATATTGATTGCTAGTGATTTAATAACTGCGGAGAAACCCTAGCCAAGCAAAAGACGGAAAATATATAATCATGTACCACTCTTCGTTAAAATGGTGCATATACACATGCTTCACTATTAATTATATTAAGCATCATAAATTAGAAATATATTCCGGATGTAATACATTACCGTAAGGACGTGCCTTTTAGAGAGTTCCTGTCTGGAACATGTACATGTACGTAGAAAATCTATTTCGGCATTGATCTTTTCATGCTGCTACATTTATAACTTTTTTATATCTTTTATTTTAATCCTAGATATATGTACATCAATTTATGTGTAATGACCAAAACAAAAAAATTCAACAGAACTAATAAAAAACGTGGAAATTGTTTATTTTATAAAGCCTAAACATTTGTCTGTGACATAAGCAATACAAGTTTTTTCAAGCTGGAAGCAGATTTGCAGCTCTGCATTTAGTCCGCTTGAATAAAAAAAACACCCCTCCTTAATAGTGCTTTAATAGTGAAATGAAATATGTAATGCGCATCAGCAACACTCAAAAATATTCAAATAGTAGTTAAGGTCAAAAATGAATTTACAATAAGTGTCTTCAAAAACAAGGTTAAAAGAAATTGGAATCAAGAAACATATTGCACGTTTTCTATTGAATAATTAATTAAAAGATTGATAAAAATTTGCAATTTTAATAATATAAAAAATTGAATTTAGTTTCACTGTGCACAGTTCAACAAAACTTTTAGCTACCATAAAATAAATTATTTTTTTTTTTTTATATATAATTTTTTGTTGTTGTTGTTAATAGCAAGATTTTAAAATTTAAAAAAGAAATTAATGAATAAATAAGACAATATGACAGAAAAAAATTAGTAAATTTATAAACAATTCCCGATGTGTAAATAGATATAAAAAAAAGTTGTGAACTAAAGATTTAAAAATGTAATGCATTTGCAACGCCGTTTTCTTTGAAAAAAAAAAAACAACAACATATATATCCCTAAAGATCTTGACTAAAAATGAAACTCTTTACTGACGGAAAATTAAATTATATATGCAGAGACACTCTAAATGATTAAATGTTCACCGAACTCTAAGGATTACATACTTAGATGCTGAGTCTTCATCAAACAGAAGCATAAAAATTACACATTTGCACAGACGAGGAAGTAAACGCGAGCTTAAACCGCAGAAGAGGTATAGACAGACTAATAGATTGTTCATTTTTCAGGTGTCCAAGATTGGGAGCTCGAGAAAAGTGTAAAAACAATGAAAAATTTTTTTTTTAATTTTTTTTTAAGATAAACATTTATAACTTTGATTTAAGACATTGTGGAGGCGACAATGGAAATTTGAAAATTCAAATTCAAATTAACCAATCGGAGGCACTGACCAATCAGATAGAGAGAACAAGGAAGATTTTGGCCGACATATCACATGTACCTTTGATAAGCTGAATCTGCAATTTACCTGAGTATAATTTTTTCATCGTTAAGTTCTATTCTTACATTAAGCCGACGGAATATTATTTCCCTCTTCCTTCTAAGTTTATTGTATTACTTTGATTATTTTGACATAATTATCAATATAAGATAGGCATATTTTAGCACAACAATGGACTTAACAATATCTTGTGAAGATGTAGTCACGAACTATCTCTCTGTAATACAATACATCTCTTTAAAGCAACATAAACTTACCAATATGTTAGTTAAAATGTTTCTTTAACATATGGTTCCATTGTTTTACCAAAAAACATATTGGAAGAAATTTTCAATGATTGTTAAATTATGTTGTTTTTTTAATTTAAAGATATGAAAATTGTGTCATCATCTATTTTAATTCCATTATTATCTAATTTTAATGAAATTGTGTGCTTTCTAAGATTAATGAATAGTTTATCTATAAATTTTTTAAAACATTCCCCAAAAGTAGCCTTACATTGCCATGATGTAAATCTTGTGCTAAACCTTTGATTGAAAATGTAATGGATCAGAATTACATGAACTTGTTTGTTTGTTTGTTTGTTTTTTTTTAAATATATGTACATGTACTTGTTTGTTTGATTTTTTTTGTAGAATTTCCTTGAAATTCCAATGCTAGGTTGCAATACATATATTCCGAAAACTTGTTTTCCATAGCCAAAGCCCCCCCCCCCCCCCCGGAAAAAAAGAAAAAAAAAACCCCGCAGATTTTCTAACGAAAAAAAAATATTTGTTATAAATTCTGAAGCGGTATATCATTATGGAAAAGAAAAAAGAAGCTCTTCATTGCAAAATAAAGTTTAACTGTTAGAAGAGTAAAAAAAAAAAAAAAAAAGAATCTTACTGTTATGTCCTTTTGTCCATGGTTTATATTATCTTTATAAGCCTAGCTTTAGTACTTAGTGGCTCTCAAAATTAAACAATCAAAAATCTATGTTTAAAAATTGTTGGTCATCAAAAATCTATTTTAAAAATATTATTCATTATACTTTATATTAAGTATTAGTACACATAATGAATTATTGATAGCTGACCCAAATCCCTTGATACTGGAATCGTTCCCTAAAAATAAATAAAAAATGACAAATTTGAGTTGTTTTCTTTCCAGGTATGTAAAAAATAAAACTTCTGATTTTTATTGCAAAAGTATTTTTTTTTATATGTACTTCTGTTTACAGATGTTTCAAGATTTTAGTGTATACTGAAAGGTATAAAAATGAATGTATCCAAGAAGTTCCAATTTAAGATAAATGATTCATACATCACAAGCAGACGATAAAATTGATGTAATATGACTCAACAAAGTACAGTATTACAACAAATGAGATTTAAGAGTAAATTCCCTGACATTTTAGTTCTTGGATATTACACAAAAGTAATATTTAAAACAAAGGCAAAAAAATTGAAATGTCCGATTTTTTCTTCCTCATACGAAAAGAAAAAAAAACCCATGTCATTCATCATTTCACCCTCGATTTAGAAATCATTTTACTTTAAATATATTTTGAGTACGAAACAAATAAAATACATATCAAAGAAATCTAAAATGCATTTAATAATAATAATAATAATAATAATAAAACAACAACAACAACAACAACAACAACAACAACAAAACAAAAAAAAAAAACAAAAAAAAAAAAAACAAAACAATCTATTAGGAGTTCAGAAAGGAAGAAAATATTAAAAAATCTAAATTCACTTATGCTAAAAAGATTAGAAAATCAAATAGTAAGTAATAAAATTGTCAGCAGATAACCATTGAGAACCACCAGATGATCATTATTATTTAGTAAGATGCTACGAGTACATTAAATTACATAGAAACCTTATTACTTACCAGATTGAAAATTCTACATCCTTAAAAACAAAGAAGTAAATTCTTAAAAACAAAGAAGTAAAAAACCAAAACTTTTTTTTAACACAGAAGTGAATAAAAAGAAAAAAAATTATAATCGAAGATATGAAACATTTGACAATCTTCTGTGTGGATTCAAACATTCATAACATTTCAGACAATAATCATACGCCTTCAATGGGTATAAATGTTCATTTTTGATGGACTTAAACTCTAAATGTGTGCAGATATCTTCAGTACAGTTTCCATGAACCCCCCAAAAAGGAAAACTCCAAAAGACGCTGAAGGTAAGTGCTAAATTGAATGAATCTTTTTTCATGTTTTTGGTGTGACGTATTCATAATTATCTGTCATTTTCTTACAGAAATGTAGCCCGACAGTTAAAGTTTAAATGAAAAAGGTGTAGATAACAAACAGTGACCTATTAAAAAAATACAAACAATACCAATCTGTGATCAGGGCAAAAAACACAGACTCCCGGAAATTCCAGTGGGATCAGGTGTCTAGGAGGAGTAAGCATCCCATGCCGACCGGTCACACCGGCCGTGAGCCCTAAGTATTGGTCAGGTAGATGGAATATTCCGTAGTCAAATTTAGTACATAAATTAAGACCTAACAATTGGTATGTAATATGTCAGTCAAAAATACTTTCCAATGATAGATTGATTTGTTAATAAGATTGTTTTATCGATCATAGAATTTACGAAATGCTGACTTCAAACCAGGTTGTTGAAATCCCTGTTAAATCAAATCATCTGTCACTAGCTTGCCTCGGCTTAAAAAAAATGATCATATCTGGAGTATGCTCTTGTGTATCGAATAAGTCGAGATACATGAACACCATATATACGTGATACGTTCTAGTCGGTAAAAGAGCTTTAAAGCTCATGTTTTTGTTAAATGTATATAGTCCGACTATAAATAAAATTTACTTACATACTTACTTACTAATAGCAGAATACCCTTTACTACATAAATAAGGATAGTTGACGGTGGAAAAGCTGAGTTCATCTCCTATTTAGTTGTTAGTTGGCCCTTATCGTCTATATATAGTAAAATATCCAAATATGAAACAGATGTAGCAGACTCTGTGGTGTCTTTTATTTCTAGTTCACGGGGATATATCGAGTCGACATATTAATGGAAGTAACTATTGTTTATTGATAAAACATCTGAATGTCGAGTTGAAAGCCACAACAAGTGTTTTCTTCTAAATTGAAAAGTCTCTCTTTGATAGATTCTAATTTCATCTATGAATAATGATTCCCTAAGTAAATTACGAGTATTAGTAACATATTCATGTACATCTGTATCTTGCTTATAGTTTCTTTTTAATTATGCGGAAATGGCAAAACACAAACCCATTGTTTCACTTCCGACATTTGTAATCATATTTATTGCAAATTAAACACATGCTTCCATACAAAGAAATGATGTCTCTTCTATAAGACAATACTATCATAGTACCTGTTACGCTTGATGTAATTTAAATTTTGTGATCTGCACCGACTCTCTTCAACATCGCCCGAAGATCGAGCAAGCTCATAGGGAGACAATTCAGAATGGAACCCACTTTACTTACCAAGCGCAGGGATCTTTGTATCGAGGTTCGACAAAGTTTATCTAAGAACATCTAGTGCCTCTCTACAAAATACATTCACGTTTAGTACAACACAATGTTTGTTACAAGGGTACAAAGTATTTTTGATGAACCATCATCCTCTGGTTGCCTTAGACACCACAATGACATCAATTTTGTTGAGTAAAGCGGAGCCAAATACTCCTCAGGTTGGCTGTCGCTGAATTTAAGTGTCAGCTAACTTACTAGTGTAGCAGTGCATGTCTCAATATGGACCTATAAGATGAGTTAAAACCTCATTTTACTTAAAACAGTCTTAACTGATGATATTCTTCGAAAGCTTAGTGATGATAAAATGTTATTCAAACCATTGTTCATTTTTTCTGACAAGTGTGATTCTTGTTCAGTTTTCAAGAGGACTGAGGCATAGACTTTAAAATTGAGGATGGCTAATTAATCAAGAATGTGAAGTGTCTTGCAAACTTGTAAATCTTTAAGTAAAATCACATCAATTCTACGGTTAATTTAATCAATTATTATCAAAGATGGCGGAAAACCTTAACGTGTCTGAAGTATGTTTATAATAAACTAGACGTTCATTTGTGAATTATTTAAGGACTTCTCGTTCATCATGTCACGATGATATTATCGTGATTAACATCCCAAATATAACTCAAAAGTTAATGAACACGTATGGATTTTTAATACAAGAACCGAAAACGATTAAGCCTCTTACTTATTAATAAATAACATTAAATACTGTAATCATTTCATCCCATATTTTTATCTCTTCCTCTTACAACATACTATACCATCAATTTTTTCGTGCAATTTTGTGGCCATATTGCAATCAAAATCATAGTTTATTCACATTAAAAATTAAAATGTAACATCCTTATGACAATGTGTTGAATGGTGTGCTTGATTTCAATTACATCCATTTTTATCTGACTTAAACATTATTCTTATATGCTGTTTCAAGTGTAAAGAACAATAATATAGAAATTATTCAACCGCAATGGATTTGTATGTCCGAATGTTGTTGAATTTACACTACAAAATAGAATGCTATTTCCTTTCCAATAGGTCCAGGTTAGTCATAGTTCTTTGGATGATAAGTGTAATAGGAAATACTTGAAACTAGAGCATCACTTAGGATTTACTGAATGAAACAAATACGGTATAATTTCAAGCACCACTTTCAGTACCCAGACATCCGTTAATACACTGCGCATGTCTGTTTGCAAAACAATGGTGAATGATAGACTTTCCATTTGTAGAAATCAAAATAATAGATAGAGGTCAATGGGGTTTCAGAATAAGCTAGTAAGAAGTGGACGTGAAGTGGATATTTAATACCCTTTTCCAAGAAAAAGAATTGTAAAACTGGGAGAAACTGAGCTTGATGAATTTCAAAATGAATAAATTTAATTTGATTAAACTTTCAGTAGTTTCTCAGACCAAGACTTGTTTTATTTCAAAGACAGGAATTGTATGTTAGATATCATATCCAACGTATCGTCATACGCTTAAATATTTTCTAAGAATGTAAAGCTGAGAAGGATTAGTTTCTATCTGGCATACATACCCTTTATGCTTTAAGATTATCCCATTCAATTTTAAGCAGAAGAAAAACGAAAGCAAAAGTCTGTGTACTTTAAGCTTGATGGATTTTTCATTTTTCTATCATCTACTATGGCTCCACTTTACCATGGGGGACCATTTCTGGAAAAAAAAACTAAAATCTACACGTCTCTTTCTTAGGAATAAGTTGCCTAGGACCTGCAAAAAGCATTTCTATGCTTACTGCTTTTCTAATATACTACTTGAGAGAGAGAGAGAGAGAGAGAATTGTGAACTTAAGACTGAACATTATTCTCATTCCTTATTTTTAAGCAAAGAACAACACTCTTACAGAATTTAGATATACCGATATTTTCAGTTGAAAGTCATTTTGAAATGATTTTCCAACCGACACATATCTTTTTGGAAGGCTATAAATAGTATATTGATACTATAATTTTAAACATGATTTCCTATTCAAAACCTCGTAAATAGTTTTTATATTTCGTCGAAATCAGCAACAGACAAACACGGGAATGATTCATCTTTGTGCCACACTATTTCTGTACATTCAAAGTAAATGTCTAGAAGTTTTAGAAAATCTATACACTCACCAACACATTATAAATACTTATAAAATCCATTTATTATTATTTTTTTAATCGCTTTGCTGTTTAAAATAAACTCTTGGATCTGATACATGAATGTTTTTCAGTATTTTAGTCACCTACAAAGATAAACGTAATAAATTGGACCAGAAAACTGCAGATCAGTCTCGCTTGTTCAGAGAGGGGCTTATACATAGACACGTTGCTCATACTATTAAACGAACAATACTTTGAAATCACCAGATCTTGTATCTTATGCAAAGTACACAGTAAGTCTGTTCTGTTTGATTACATATTCAGGATATCAAATTTCTTAACAGAAAGTCTTCCTTTATTTGTACTTGCATCATGTTCACAAGGCAATATGATTGCAGATTAGGAAATTTAGTATTTTCTACTGTATAAACTAATACCTTTGTCTCTCCCTAGCATTATAGATATTGTACAAGATATTTCAATGTAAGTTTGAAAGAACCATCTAATCATGATTTAATGCTGATTGATTAACTTTGTCAAGCAAACTCTGTCATATGAGTTTTTAATCGTATACCGATATACCAAAATCGATTGATTGATTGATTTTAAGTTGTTTTACGTCCCAATCAAGAATTTTTCACTCATATAGAGACGTGACCATATACCGGCGAAGGGCTTCAAAATTTAACGTTTACTCGGCACTCAAGGCCATTGAGCAGTGAGAGGTTTTTATCGTGCCAACGCCTGCCGTGACTCGGGGCCTCGGTTTTTAAGGTCTCGTCAGAAGGACCTGCAACTTTTACTTCAAAGTACCGAGCGCATGGCGGAGGAATAGTTGCTACCTACTTTTTATCGATTTAAGGTCAGTCGCGGCCAGATTCGAACTCATATCCTTCCGATCACGGAGCGAACGCTGTACCGACTGAGCTACCGTGACGGTTACCAAGAATCTGCATATTCCACTTAAACCCCACTTTTACTAGATCGACACTGAGGGTTGTGCTCCGTTTGTGAATAAACAAATGAGTACTACATGATACATATAGTATATAGCAAATACCTACCCATTTACTAAACATATATAATATATAAAATAGGAAATTATCAAAGACAGGGCTGGAAAACCATTAGATTAATAAAAGCAAATAGCAACTAAATGTAATATACCTGTCACAAACAATACCGTATATAAAATAGGAAATTAAAGACGTCACATTCGAGAATTTTCAATCATATGGAGACACGGGTATGCAAACCGCAAACAGAAGTAC